GCCGGAGAGACAGTGGAGAAGACTGTCGGCGGCTTGGACGAACTGCCTTTTAGTAGAGAGAAAAAGAGATTCTTTCTCTAATTTCTTTCTCCGTGCCTATTATTTTAATTAATGATGTATAGTTTGGAGATGTAAAATTAATAACTTTCTAGTTAACCAATATAGATCAATATATAGTACTTTCACAAACTATATATTATATATACATCATTAATTACGTAAAGTATTAGAATGAAATTACGTAAAATATGATCAACAATTAGAAATGAAGCATATTTTTAGAATTGCCCAATATTCTGAGACTTTTTAGAATCATAATACGCTCTTCTTTAGCAATATTTAATGGTCTTTTATTGTTGAAAATATATAAAGAAATTTCCCCTTTTTAAAATCTATAATGAAATTTGCAGATGAATATAGATGATTTGGTAAAATGATAAACAAAGAAAACTAGATTGAGGGGAATATGGTTTTATCTAGGATTGATTTAAAAAATAATAATTGCATGAATGAATGCTTACAAACACGAAAAACAAAAAAAATTACATTATTTTTTTTTTATTTTTTTGAAACGAATTTAAATTTACAATAGTTACACAAGTAGAATTCGGATTAAAAACTCGAAGAGAGTTTGTTATAGTACATTTACATATTCTAATAAATCATCTATATTCCAAGAGAGATGATCATGAGAATAAATCTTTTCACTCATATTTAGCAGTAGATAATTTTCTTCCAAAAAAAAGTATTTAATCGAAATAAAAAAATGATACTTGCTTGTGGTGGGTCACGAAGAAACGAGAAAAACAAATTTCTCACTTTACTCTACTAATCACACCCTAACTTTCACACGGGAGAATTATTGACAATCTTCCTCTAGAGACTTCAAATTAAATAAGCTTGTCAAAGAACAATGACTTTAAATTACACCACACGTAGTTATCGAGTTAGCTCAAGCACAACATAATTTAAGAAAATAATTTAAAAGTGAAAACTAACTCATGAATGGTTAGTTGATTCAACTGAATTGTCATGTATTAAATAGAGGATATTGAAGAATCGCGAAAAGGTCCTAGAGTTTCAGGTTTTGAAGATAAAATAAATACGACAATAGCGAAGAAAGACTAATAATTTTGCTATGAGATACTTTGAATCTGGAAGGGGAAAGTATGGCGTAGTGTACCTACTCATTATGGCGTATGAATGGGAAAATACCTTTAGCCATACAGTACTCTCCATGATTTCCAATATAATTATCATTTTTGTATCGGCTGACTTTTAATGATGTGGACAAAAAATAACTAGTGCTTATTAATCCGACTATGTTAATATTGGCTTCAAGTAAAGACGAAAAAAGCATAACAAGTGTGGGCTCGCTCGGTCACATAGAACAAACACCACAAAACAAATCTTAAACTTGCATTTTTGTTTTCTCGCTAGACGATCTCCCTCGACCTAGGTTGCATGGAAACTCCATCCGAGGTGTATTGTCCGTTTTGGAAACGTTTCGGAAACCAAAACTCTTGGAAACTCCATGGAAACGCGTTTCCTAAAAAAAGTTAATTCAGAAACGTATTTCCTAAAATATTTTAATTTGGAAACTCGATGGGAACTTTAATTCCATTTTGGAAACGCGATGGAAACTCGTTTCCTATAAATCTTAAATTAGAAATACGATGAAAATATTCGTTTATATTTTGGAAACGCGATGAAAATTTGTTTCTTACGTAATAATTAAATAGTTTGAAAATGTATGGATATATTTAGTACTTTTATAGGTTAAAAACAACAAAATTATGAAAGATTGCGTTTGTATATAGGTTAAAAACAACAAAATTATTATACTTTTTGCTTTTGTTAAGCTATTTACTATTTACGTATATAATTTGTATTGTTTAAATTGTTTTAAATATTGTTTTTGAAGTAGTATATATATATATATGTTTATGTGTGCGCGTTTCCAAAACGTACCCGTTTCCTAAATTTTTTAAAAAAATCGTTTCCACGTTTCCAAA